AGGCAGGAGCCACAAAGTCTGCAAACTGAAAAAGAGTAGAGGAAAAGTGAGGTACAATCCTAACTGAGAAAATAGGGGTGGAGAGATTTACCTTGCACTGCCTATTTCCCTTTGGCAAAAGGAGCAGAGGCAGGAGCCATGAAGGATAGGACACATGGTTTCCCATAATTGCACTTATGTGCCAGACACCATGCTTTTTTTTTTTTTTTTTTTTTTTTTTTTTGTAGAAACAGGGTTTTGCTCTGTTGCTCAGGCTGGAGTGCAGTGAGAACATTATAGCTGACTGCAGCTTGAACTTCTGGGCTCAAGCAGTCCTTCCCATCTCAGCCTCCTGAGTAGCTAGAACTACAGGGGTGTGCCACCATGCCCAGCATATTTATCTCTATTTTTGTAGAGAGAGGGTCCTTGCTATGTTGCCCAGGGTGGTCTGAAACTTCTGGCCTCAAATGATCTTCCTAGCTTGGCCTCACAAAGTGCTGGAATGGTCAGGCATGATGACTCACACCTGTAATCCCAGAACTTTGGAAAGCTGAGGCAGACAGATCATCTGAGGTCAGGTGTTGCAGATCAGCCTGGCCAACAGGGTGAAACCCCATCTCTACTAAAAAATACAAAAATTAGCTGGGCGTGGTGGCGCCCACCTGTGATCCCAGCTACTCCGGAAGCTGAGGCAGGAGAATCGCTTGAACCCAGGAGGCAGAGGTCTCGCAGTGAGCTGAGATCATGCCACTGCACTTCAGCCTGGGCCACAAACAAAACAAAAGAACAAAAAACAAAGTGCTGGGATTCCAGGTGTGAGCCACCACACGTGGCCTACATACTTTGATGTATATTCTCATTTTTTCTTTTTTTTTTTTTTTCCGAGACGGAGTTTTGCTCTTGTTACCCAGGCTGGAGTACAATGGCACGATCTCGGCTCACCGCAACCTCCGCCTCCTGGGTTCAGGCAATTCTCCTGCCTCAGCCTCCTGAGTAGCTGGGATTACAGGCACGCGCCACCATGCCCAGCTAATTTTTTGTATTTTTAGTAGAGACGGGGTTTCACCATGTTGACCAGGATGGTCTCAATCTCTGGACCTCGTGACCCACCTGCCTCAGCCTCCCAAAGTGCTGGGATTACAGGCGTGAGCCACCACGCCCAGCCTATATTCTCATTTTTTCTTACAGTCATCCAATGAAACAAAACCTTCTCTTTGACAAATGAAACAGCCCAGGAGGTTAAGTGACTGCTCACGTGATAGGTAAAGGTAGTATCAAAAAGCAGTCTAAAAGAGATTCAAAAAGCCCTTGCTTTTCACCTTTGTATTATTAACCAAGCTTACTAATTACATGATTGAGTTGAAAGTAGGTATTGGCTCATTTGCAAAACACTGAAAGAAACTGAGACCAAAAAAAAAAAAAACCCTGCAAGTTTCAAGCCTCATTTCAAAGGAAGGTTACATCCCCTTTCATCATCTATTACATAGCCTCCCAGTGTAGCCCAACACTCCTGCCCATAATGAAATCTCCTTATTCCACTTTTTATTCCCAGTAATTTTTTACTCATGTCCTGCTCTTCTTCCCTGCTGCCCCCTTTGTATTATTTTGTTCTTGAGCCACTGTTTTGAACAGCATCTTAATTGTGCCTTCATGGGCCGAACCCCGTCTCTGACCCTGCCCCAATGGGTTTCAGCAGAGGATACTTTCCATCCATATTCTGAGGGTTCCAGGGCCTGGAGCCAGTCATCCAGGAGGTCATCCAAAGGAGTGGAATCCATTGGCTCTAAGAGACTCTCCATTCCCTGCCTAGGAAGGAACAGCCGAGTCAGAGGAACGTGCATTCAATTCAGACCCTCCCTTTTCACCCAGTGAAAGCTAAATCTCTGAAAAGTGGGGAGAAGTAGGGCTAAGCCCACTGGTCATGAAAAGAACAAGGAATAGAAAACATACCCCTCAGCTCCCCTGCCCTGCAGAGACTGGCTGGGAGGGTCCCAGAAATGTAGGGCTCTTCTCCACTGCCTGATCTGGGCATCCCAGGAGCAACCGTTGTACCGCTGGTTCTTGTTTGGTATTTCAGGGTGAAGCCCAGGCTGCCGCTGTGCCCTGGCAACAACAAATATGGGTCAGATTGAGGTCAAGGTGAAGGAACACAGCTCACTGCTTATCACAGTGAATCAGGAGCCTAGATAGGGATTCCCCAAGGATGACATAGGATCAATGCCCTCAATCCAACAGAAAAAGTAAATCTTCAAATCAGATTAAACACCAAACTTCCCACCTCTCTAATACTCTTTCTTCTGGGAAGGATAAATCAGATATATTCCAACACCCTCAGAAATCAAGATATAAAAGACAATATTTGACTTACCTTTAAAATAATTCTACCCTTCCACAGTTTGTATGTACACATGTAAATGTACATGTAATTAGCTAAGTATGTTGCAATTAGCTAAGCCAGCTGGAGTCACGATGAGATAGAAAAAATGCTTGAACCTGGGAGCTGGAGGTTGCAGTGAGCAGAGATTGTACCACTGCACTCCAGCTTATGCAACAGAGCAAGACTCTGTCTAGAAAAAAAAAAAAAAAAGTCTTAAGGGCTAGGTGTATAATTTCCATTTGAAAAATCTCAAACTTATTTTTGGGGCTAGATTTTTAGAGAATTTCTTTTAGGAATGCTGCAACTTTGTCAGAGCACTCAGATTCTAGTATATTTCCATCACCTGAACATTGAACGAAAGCCACTTTGGTTGACACCTTTGTTGTGACCATCTATAACTGCACTCACTTGGAGACCTGCTGCAGAAAGCACTGGTAGCCAGGGGTACACTTGCCATAATCTATCTGCTTTTGCCACCACTGGAGAATAACTTCATCTGTCTCTACTTCCCACCTGCAGGGAAGTATACAGTTTTCCACAAAGTGTGATTATATTGTAGTCATCAAAGCAAATATCAACTCATCCCACACTCCCTTAATCCCCAGCCTGATTTTCAAACTCAGCTGACATAGCAAGGTTCTGTGCTAACTCCCATACTCACTGTCTGCATCCTAGAGGACAAAGACTCTTCACACATCTCCTTTCTGGGGAAGCAGGTTCTACAGATGAAAAGGGAATTAGGATAAAAGCCACCTGACTACTCTGTGCCTCTCAGCCACTACCCTCACCAAGATACTGACATCAGACAAAAGTTTCACTTTTGACTTTTCTTTCTCAAGGTGTGATCTGCAAGTTGTCTACATAGGTAGCACCTGGGGGCCTTGATAATGACCCCGCTTTAGACCTATTGAATGATGGTTTTTGGAGCTTACATCTTAAAGAGCTTCCAAGGTTATTTTTGGAAGATTTTTATTATGGAATTTTTTTTTTTTTTAAGACAGGGTTTCACCATGTTGGTCAGGCTGGTCTTGAACTCCCGACCTCAGGTGATCCGTCCACCTTGGCCTCCAAAGTACTTGGATTACAGGTGTGAGCCGCCATGCCCAGCTGGAAATTTTAAAATATACACTGAAGTAAGGAGTATGAGATAATACCTTACTAAAGTGTGGTCCTAGGACCAGCTACCTCACCATCAGCAGGGGGCTTATTAAAAGGGCAGAATCTTGGGCCATAACCCAGACCTCCCGAATCAGAATCTGCATTTAGCAGGTCCCCAGGTGGTTAGTGTGCACATTAAATGTTGAGTAGCACAGATATGATGGACCCTCCTGCTCCCTATTGCTCAACACTCAGGGTCAATCTTGTATCATCAATACCCTCCCCCAACACAGGATTATTTAAAAGCAAATCCCTAACATCAGGAATGTCTGTTTTTGTTTTGAGACAGAGTCTCACTCTGTTGCCCAGGCTGGAGTGCAGTGGCACAACCTCAATCTCCCGGGTTCAAGTGATTCTCATGCCTCAGCCTCCCAAGTAGCTGGGATTACAGATTGTGTGCCACAACACTTAGCTAATTTTTGTATTTTTAGTAAACACAGGGTTTCACCATGTTGGCCAGGCTGGTCCTGAGCCCCTGACCTCATGTAATCTGCCGGCCTTGGCCTACCAAAATGCTGGGATTACAGGCGTGAGCCACAGCGCCTGGCCAATAATTTCTAAATATCACCACTTAGTCATTGTTCAAAAATTCCATTAAAAACCAAACTTTGAGGTCTTCTGGACTGTGATAAGGATTATTCCGGGATGATTTAATTCCTCCACTTCCCTGTAACGGAATTTCTTTTTACCCACGTACACTAGCGTCTCCGAGATGCTGCACACTAAAAGAAACACCAAACAAGGAAAGCTTTCGGAAGGGGCCAATGCCTCTCATCATAAACACGCACACTTGTCTTGCCCCAACACCTGCCACACCGGCAGCAAACGCTCCGTCTCTCGTGGAAGGCCAGCAAAACGTAGAACACGCCCGCACAAACGGCACAAGAAAGAAGCCATGAAAATGAAACGCTTACAACATCCTACACCCAAAACAATATTTCCTAGTATTATCCTAGGGGAATGGTCATTACTAGCAAGGCGCAATTTAAATCTCCCGGGGTTCGTGGGGCGGAGGGAAACCATGAAAACAGAAAGGGTGTGGCGATTGCTCAGAGGGAGAGCCAATGATACGTGAGGCTCTCCGTAAGGCGGGCATACCCCGCAGCCCTGCCTAGAGCTGGTGGGCCAATCGCTATCTTGCTCTGGTTATGGGGCGGGGCAAGTCTTACTACTTCCAGAGCAAGCACACGCCCCCGGGTGTTGTGCGAGCCCAATGATTGGCCATGAGGGTCTGGGCGCGAGCGCGGAGATTGGCTGACGCAGCTTAGAGGCGAGGCGGGATAAGTTACTGGGCGGGCGGAAGGTTTGAATGGTCAACGCCTGTGGCTGTTGGTATTCTGGCTCCGAGGCCGTAACTTCGGCCTCCTGCTGAGGGAAGCCGCCGAGTCCGACGCTGGCCTCCCAGTTGGGAGGCAAAGCTGCAGTTTGGTTAACTGTCTACTTTCCCCCCGATTTCCTTTTATTCTGCTCGAGTCTCCGCCTGTGTCCGACCCCTACCCACTTTCCTTCCTCCCGATGGCAAGCCTCAGACTCCAGGCTTGAGGTAAGTTCGCAGTGGTCTCCGCCACAGAATCACGGAGACCCCATTGACCCCTTAGGGTCCAGTTAGGCCCCCACAAACGGAGGTTGGGAAGGCCGAATGGGCATTATTGCGAGTCACCAGACCCGGGTTCCTTCTGGTCAGGAGTCTGGAGCTGTGTCGCCTGGAACAAGTCAAAATCCTCTCTTTATTCCGTCTTTAAAGTCCTAAGGTTGCCTCTCGTCAGTGAATTCAGGTTTTAACCTGAAGCCAAGCCGCTTCGACCAGGTGCAGTTTAACCTTGAAGCCAGGCTGTGACTCACCCTTCGGGGATACCCCTCCTCCAGTGCTGATCCGCCTGACTGAAAAGGCTGGAGGAGTTTGGGAAAGCTGAGAGAACTGTGATGTACCGATATAGATGATGTTTTCCTCCTAGCTAGGTTTTGCTTTTCTCCTGTGAGAACTCGGAAGACCATGTCTGCAGAACTCTTCTCATCCATAAGAGAGGAAGCAAGCTCTGGCTCAGGACCCAGTTTTAGGTCTAATCAAAGGAAAATGTTAAACCTGCTCCTGGAGAGAGACACTTCCTTTACCGTCTGTCCAGATGTCTCTAGAACTCCAGAGGGTGAATTTCTTGGTGATTCTACAAACCTAAGCATTTTGTCTGGGTAAATATACTTTTATTTTTACATCTTATTGTCTTTGCTATTTCCAAACAGTTGGGTTTTTTGTTGGTTTGTTTTCAGTTATCCTGGCCCAAAGGTCAGGGTTTAAGTCTGAGCTCTGCCCTTGACATTGTAACCCTTTTGAGCAGGCGTCCCCAAACTACGGCCTGCGGGCCGCATGCGGCCCCCTGAGGCCATCTATCCGGCCCCCTCGCCGCACTTCAGGAAGGGGCACCTCTTTCACTGGTGGTCAGTGAAAGGAGCACAGTATGTGGCGGCCCTCCAACGGTCTGAGGGACAGTGAACTGGCTCCCTGTGTAAAAAGTTTGGGGATGCCTGCTTTTAAGTCTCACTTTCTTTCCTGTGACATAGAAATAATAATCTCAGCCAGGCGAGGTGGCTCATTCCTGTAATCTCCACACTTTGGGAGGCCAAGGAGGGCAGATCGCGTGAGTCCAGGAGTTCAAGACCAGCCTGGGCAACATGGCAAGACCCTGTCTCTACAAAAAATATTAAACATTAGCCGAGTGTGGTGGTGGGCACCTATAGTCTCAGCTACTTGGGAGGCTGAGGTGAGGTGGAAGAGTTGCTTGAGCCCGGGGAGCTGGAGGCTGCAGTGAGCCAAGATTGCATCACTGCATTCCAGACTGGACAACAGAGTGAGGCCCTATCTCATAAATAATAATAATAATAATAATAATCTCTTCCTATCGTACTAGGATCTTGTGAGAATCAAATGTTGTGATATCCGGGAAAAGTCTTTGAAAACTGCTGCATTACAAGTTGGTCACTTTATTAGTATTAATATTAGTGTTATTGCACCTGTACTTGAATTCTGATCATATCATGTCTCAAATAGCAAATAGAGAAGTAAGTAGCTGGGAAACACTAGGGACTCCAGGGAGAAATCCAGTCTGTGTTCACGTTGCTCAGGACGAGGATGTGGAGTCAAGATCTTCCTCGGCCAATAAACTTTGGGCCTCATTAAAGAAAAAATATCTGTTTCAGTATGTTGGTAAGGAGAAAATGAGGTATACATTATAGTAGTGGGAGATTTTTCTCAGCCCAGTCTATTTTCAAAAGCAATTAGATATATTTGGACACTGTTCAGATGATCCGATAGCCATTAAGGGATATTTTGGCCGGGTGCGGTGGCTCACGCCTGTAATCCCAGCACTTTGGGAGGCCGAGGTAGGCAGATCATGAGGTCAGGAGATCAAGACCATCCTGGCCAACATGGTGAAACCCCATCTCTACTAAAAAATACAAAAATTAGCTGGCTATGGTGGCGTCCACCTGTAGTCTCAGCTACTAGGGAGGCTGAGGCAGGAGAATTGCTTGAACCCAGGAGGCGGCGGTGAGCCAAGATTGTGCCACTGTACTTCAGCCTGGTGACAGAACAAGACTCTGCCTCAAAACAAACAAACAAACAAACAAACAAACGAGATATTTCAAATGAAGAGGATTGGCCAGGCATCAGGCATGGTGGCGCATGCCTGTAATCCCAGCATTTTGGGAGGCCTAGGCAGGCAGATCACCTGAGGTCAGGAGTTTGAGACCAGCCTGGCCAACATGGAGAAGCCCCATCTCTACTGAAAATACAAAAATTAGCTGGGTGTGGTGTTGGGCACCTGCGATCTCAGGTATTCAGGAGGCTGAGGCAGGAGAATCAGTTGAATCCGGGAGGTGCAGGTTGCAGTGAGCTGAGATGGTGCCACTGTACACCAGCCTGGGTGACAAAGCAAGACTCCGTCTCAAACAATAAAAAATAAATAAATAAACGAAGAGTATGACATGATTTTTGACTTTTAAGGATATAACAGTCTAATGGGAATTTCGATGTACTATTATGTCTCAACAGAGGAACCCCAAAACGTTGCCTTGATCTTTCGAGTCTTAGCAGTGGGGAGATATCTGCCACTCAGCTTACCACTTCTGCAGACCTTGATGAAACTGGTAGGGAAAAGAGAGACTAAGGTCTCAAAGGGAAGAATAACTTTTAAGAAAAATGACAGGGAAGCAGAATAGAGATGGAAAGTGGTGAAAGTATGTAGAGATTCTGCCTAGAGCAATGGAATTTTGTGGGTAACTAGAGGATTTTTGAGAATTATTAAGCCAATGGGAAGAGAAAGATAACACTAATAGGAACTGCTTTGCATTTGAAAATGTTAGACAAGCCGGGCGCGGTGGCTCAAGCCTGTAATCCCAGCACTTTGGGAGGCCGAGGCGGGTGGATCACGAGGTCGAGAGATCGAGACCATCCTGGTCAACATGGTGAAACCCCGTCTCTACTAAAAACACAAAAAAGTAGCTGGGCATGGTGGTGCTTGCCTGTAATCCCAGCTACTCAGGAGGCTGAGGCAGGAGAATTGCTTGAACCCAGGAGGCGGAGGTTGCAGTGAGCCGAGATCGCGCCATTGCACTCCAGCCTGGGTAACAAGAGCGAAACTCCGTCTCAAAAAAAAAAAAGAAAAGAAAAGAAAAGAAAATGTTAGACAAGAAGAAATATATTTTGTTGACTGATTAATGATGGTAATGAAAGTATAGTGATAGGATATGAGAAATTTTGTGCCGTAGTCTAATCTCAGCAGAGGCAAAGAAACCAGCGTAAAGGAATATGTTGTCAACTAATTCTTACATGTTTTGTATAAAACATTCCAAAATGAATATTTCATTAGTCAACCTTACAGAATCCTAATTTCAGATTTTCTGAGTGATAACCTTTCTTTTCTACTCAAAAAACAAACAAACAAACAAACAAAACTCCACAGGTTAGCATAGTGCTCTGTTTCCCAGCACTTCTTTTAATGACACATATAAATTCTTAAGTTCCATGAAATTGTACCTTTTACCATGAAATGGATACCAATAGAGAGGCTTTGTGTTCAAAAGTTCAGTCCTTGCAGTTAATATGGCTTGCTGGTAATGAAGAAAATCTGAAGGAAAAACAAGATGCATGGACAAAAATAACTCCTTTTACTGATTCTTTATATTTGATTGCAGGTCACCTGGATTCTTCAGGACTTCAGGAAGTACAGTTAGCTGGGATGTAAGTTCTGTTGCCAAATGAACCCCATGCAAAAGCCTTTCAGCACTAGTCATAGAGATTTTATCCTATACAGATTCTGCAGAGTACAAAACCTTTCTCTCTCCCTTGTTTTTTTCTGAGACAGAGTTTTGCTCTTGTTTCCCAGGATGGAGTGTAATGGCTTGATCTCGGCTTACTGCAACCTCTACCTCCCAGGTTCAAGTGATTCTTGTGCCTCAGCCTCCTTAGTAGCTAGAATTACAGGCATGCACCACCATGCTTGGCTAATTTTTTGTATTTTTAGTAGAGACAGGGTTTCTCCATGTTGGCCAGGCTGGTCTTGAACGCCTGACCTCAAGTGATCAGCCCGCCCCAGCCTCCCAAAGTGCTGGGATTACAGACATGAACCACCATGCCTGACCTGAATTGCTTTAAATGCGCTAACCCGGCTGGGCGCTATGGCTCACGCCTGCAATCCCAGCACTTTGGGAGGCTGAGGCAGGTGGATCACGAGGTCATGAGATGGAGACCATCCTGGCCAATGTGGTGAAACCCCATCTCTACTAAAAATACAAAAATTAGCTGGGTGTGGTGGTGGGCACCTGTAGTTTCAGCTACTCAGGAGGCTGAGGCAGGAGAATTCTTTGAACCCAGGAGGCGGAGGTTGCAGTGAGCCAAGTTTGTGCCACTGCACTCCAGCCTGGTGACAGAGTGAGACTTCATCTCCAAAAAATAAATAAATAAAAATAAAAAATAAATGCTCTAACCCAGATAGATAATGAAATCCAAGGAGGGAGGATAGAAATTAATTAATTTTTTTTTTTTTTTTTTTTTTTGAGATGGAGTTTCATTCTTGTTACCCAGTGCCATGGCGCAATCTCGGCTCACTGCAACCTCGGTGAGGTTCAGACAATTCTCCTGCCTCAGCCTCCTGAGTAGCTGGGATTAAAGGCACATGCCACCATGCCCAGCTAATTTTTTGTATTTTTAGTAGAGATGAGGTTTCACCATGTTGACCAGGATGGTCTCGATCTCTTGACCTCGTGATCCACCCACCTCGGCCTCCCAAAGTGCTGGGATTACAGGCATGAGCCACCGCCCCTGGCCTAGAAATTCCGTCTCTACTAAAAATACAAAAAAATTAGCTGGGCATGGTGGCGCGTGCCTGTAATCCCAGCTACTCAGGAGGCTGAGGCAGGAGAATTGCCTGAACCCAGGAGGCGGAGGTTGCGGTGAGCCGAGATCGCGCCATTGCACTCTAGCCTGGGTAATGAGCGAAACTCCATCTCAAAAAAAAAAAAAAAAAAAAATTAGCCCCAATACACTGTGCTGGAAAATTAGTAAATTGTAAATTGTATAAAACTCATTCATTTTTGGTACATGTTTATTTATATGGTTATGCAGGCAAATGAGGGTCTTATCCCCAAGATGTCACTTGAGTCTTGATGTTTACCACAGAGAATACCTTGTGTATTGTTGCTGGAAGAGACATGTCAACTAGGAAAAGGGCTCCTAGAATGAAATAAAGAAAAAGTTGGGATGTACCAATCCACTGAAGAATAATCAAACCATATTTGGGGCTAACCTGACGGGCAGTTTGTTTTAATCTGCAGGAATCATCACCAGCACCTAATGAAAAGTAGCCCAGTGAGTAGCTTCTCTTTTTTGGGTTTGGGTTTGTTTTTCAGGTGGGAGGGAGAGGGTTTCCAATGCACCTGTGGCTTGAGGATGCTGGACGTTCTCAGCAAATACTCTTTTTTAGGCACAGCTTCTTTGTAGCACTCCAAATGGTTTGGACCGTGGCCATAGAAAGAGAGATGCAATGTGTAGCTCATCTGCAAATAAAGAAAATGTGAGTGTTTAATGGAAACCTAGATATATTGGCAGAGTTATTTTTTTGAGTGAAGAAACTTGTTGGTGTCATTGTGAAACGTAGAACTGTTAACATCTCGTGTGCTAGACAAGCAAACTGTATTGCTATAGGGGAACAAAATTCTTTGTTTTTGTTTTTTCTCATTAAAGTTTGGCCCTAGGTCAGAGACCCAGCTCCAAGTCCTAGGTCATCGTTATTTCTCATGTTCAGTTGAAGAGTTTGAGGACAAAAATTACCCTCACTGTAGTGTAGGGACTTAAGAGTTTTTCGGTTGTTTATTTTAACCGGTAGGGATAACTTGCATAACTTGTTCATAGATTTTTTTTTCACCACTTTATATGCAAGTATAGATTTATTAATTTCTTATTTCTCCTTTAGTCTAGCTTTTAAGCCCTTACTCTGAGGAAGCCATGGTCCTTTTTATGCAAACCTTAGGCTATCTTTCACTTCCAAGTTAAAACTAGCCTCTCCAGAGCCACCTAATCACTAAGATAATTCTCTATCTAATCCTTTCAACTAATCCCCTTTCTTAGACATCTTTTTTCTTCCCTGCCGCCCATCCCTTTACCCAGGTCATCACCCATAAAAGATAGCTACTATTCTTTTCTTTTTTTTCTTTTTTTTTTTTCGAGACGGAGTTTCGCTCTTGTTACCCAGGCTAGAGTGCAATGGCGCGATCTCGGCTCACCGCAACCTCCGCCTCCTGGGTTCAGGCAATTCTCCTGCCTCAGCCTCCTAAGTAGCTGGGATTACAGGCACATGCCACCATGCCCAGCTAATTTTTAGTATTTTTAGTAGAAACGGGGTTTCACCATGTTGACCAGGATGGTCTCGATCTCTCGACCTCGTGATCTACCCGCCTCGGCCTCCCAAAGTGCTGGGATTACAGGCTTGAGCCACCGCGCCCGGCTACTGTTCTTTTCTTACATTGACTTAAGATATGCTCATATTTTTGGCTGTTCTAATCAGTTTTTTCTTGATTTAATACTGTCCTTCTAATCTCCATTTATAATCATTATTTATTTATTTATTTTTGAAACTGAGTCTTGCTCTGTCACCCAGACTGGAGTACAATGGCGCAATCTCGGCTCACTACAACCCCTGCTTCCAGGATTCAAGCAATTCTCCTGTGTCAGCCTGCCAAACAGCTGGGACTGTAGGCATGCACCAACACAGCCTAGCTAATTTTTGTATTTTTAGTAGAAACTGGTCTCAAACTCCTGACCTCAAGTTATCCACCTGCCTCAGCCTCTCAAAGGGCTGAGATTATGGGTGTGAACCACTGTACCAGGCCTATAATCACTTTTTTTTTTGAGACAGTTTTGTTCTTGTTGCCCATGCTGGAGTGCAGTGGCATAATCTCTGCTCACTGTAACTTCTGCCTCCCGGGTTCAAGTGATTTTCCTGCCTTGGCCTCCCAGATAACTGGGATTACAAGTGTGTGTCACCATGCTTGGCTAATTTTTGTATTTTTAGTAGTGACAGAGTGTCACGAAGTTGGCCAGGCTGGTCTCGAACTCCTGACCTCTGGTGATCCACTCGCCTGGGCCTTCCAAGTGCTGGGACTATAGGTGTGAGCTATCGTGTCCGGCCTATAACCACTTTTTAAAATCTCACTATCACCTTCCCAGGCAGGCTACCTACCCCTACCCTATTCCTTTTACTTGTGACCATAAAATTAGTATCTTCCAAAGCAAATCTGCATGCCATACATAAAATGCACATCATAATTTGCATCTTCCAATGCAAAGTTATATAAGCTCAGGATGTAGGGTCAACTTTGATTATATGAAATGTGTTTTGTGGGTTGGGCATGGTGGCTCACGCCTGTAATCCCAGCACTTTGGGAGGCCGAGGCGGGTAGATCACAAGGTCAAGAGATCGAGACCATCCTGGTCAACATGGTGAAACCCCGTCTCTACTAAAAAATACAAAAAATTAGCTGGGCATGGTGGCACGTGCCTGTAATCCCAGCTACTCAGGAGGCTGAGGCAGGAGAATTGCCTGAACCCAGGATGTGGAGGCTGCAGTGAGCCAAGATCGCGCCATTGCACTCCAGCCTGGGTAAAAAGAGCGAAACTCTGTCTCCAAAAAAAAAAAAAAGGGCCGGGCGCAGTGGCTCACGCCTGTAATCCCAGCACTTTGGGAGGCCGAGGCGGGTGGATCACGAGGTCAAGAGATCGAGACCATCCTGGTCAACATGGTGAAACCCTGTCTCTACTAAATATACAAAAAATTAGCTGGGCATGGTGGCACGTGCCTGTAATCCCAGCTACTCAGGAGGCTGAGGCAGGAGAATTGCCTGAACCCGGGAGGCGGAGGTTGCGGTGAGCCGAGATCGCGCCATTGCACTCCAGCCTGGGTAACAAGAGTGAGACTCCGTCTCAAAAAAACAAACAAACAAACAAACAAACAAAAAGAAATGTGTTTTGTGAGGGTTATTCATGGCTTCATCAGATGAAATGTTTTTATCAGGGCCAACTGACACTTCTTTTCCCCAACTAATGGTGTTTTTCTTATGCAGGAAAATAGCACTTTGAGGTCGTTGGAGTGGCATGCACCCAGGAACTTGAGGTTTCAAAAGAGATCAGGGGAGCCTTATGTGTCTCCTTTTTCTCTGCTGGTAAGTCATTAAACATCATTATTAAGGATCACTTGGAGTGTTATAGGCTATAGGATGGCAGCTCTGAATTTATGAACCTTTGAATTTTTCTTTTTGTTTTCTTTTTTTTTTTTTTTTTTGAGACGGAGTTTCGCTCTTGTTACCCAGGCTGGAGTGCAATGGCACGATCTCGGCTCATCGCAACCTCTGCCTCCTGGGTTCAGGCAATTCTCCTGCCTCAGCCTCCTGAGTAGCTGGGATTATAGGCACGCACCACCACGCCCAGCTAATTTTTTTGTATTTTTAGTAGAGACGGGGTTTCACCATGTTGACCAGGTTGGTCTCGATCTCTCGACCTCATGATCCACCTGCCTCAGCCTCCCAAAGTGCTGGGATTACAGGCTTGAGCCACCGTGCCCGGCGAACCTTTGAATTTTTCTAACTGGCATCATCAAGCCAAATTTAGGTGGGAAAAAGAGGGTTGGAGAAGTAAAGTTTGAACAGGAAAAGACAGGAGCTGTATATCCTCTGATCTTCTTGTTTAAATGTAAGAGGGAAAAAATATCTTGGGCTTTGATTTTATTCTACTTTATTCTTCTTTTTATATGAGACAGGGTCTCACTCTGTTGCCCAGGCTGGAGTGCAGTGGCACGATCTCAGCTCACTGAAACCTCTGCCTGCCTCAGCCTCCTGCATAGCTGGGACTACTGGTACATGCTACTACGGCTGGCTAATTTTTTTTTTTTCTTTTTGAGATGGAGTTTCACTCTTGTTGCCCAGGCTAGAGTGCAATGGCATGATCTCGGCTTACCACAACCTCTGCCTCCAGGTTTCAAGCGATTCTCCTGCCTCAGTCTCCCTATTAGCTGAAATTACAGGCATGTACCACCATGCCTGGCTAATTTTGTACTTTTAGTAGAGACAGGATTTCTCCATGTTGGTCAGATTGGTCTCAAACCCCGACCTCAGTTGTTCCACCCACCTTGGCCTCCCAAAGTGCTGGGATTACAGGTGTGAGCCACCGTGCTGGCCATTTTTTGTATTTTTAGTAGATACAGGGTGTCACCATGTTGCTCAGGTTGGGCTCGATCTTCTGACCTCAGGTAGTCTGCCTGCCTCAGCCTCCCAAAGTGCTGGGATTACAGGTATGAGCCACTGCACCCTGGCCTTTTCTACTTTATTCTCTAAGTATAAAGATTACTTTTATTTTTGAGACGGAGTCTCACCTTGTCGCCCAGGCTGGAGTGCAATGGTGCCATCTCAGTTTACTGCAACCTCCGCCTCCCAGGTTCAAATGATTCTCCTGCCTCAGCCTACTGAGTAGCTGGGATTACAGGCACCTGCCACCATATTCAGCTATTTTTCTTGTGTTTTTAGTAGAGATAGGGTTTCACCATGTTGGCCAGCCTGGTCTCAAACTCCTGACCTCATGATACACCCAGTTCAGCCTCCCAAAGTGCTGGGATTACAGTTGTGGGCCACTGCACCCAGCCTGCTTTTTTATTTTTCATTTTTTAGACAAAAGGTCTTGCTATGTTGCCCAGGCTAGACTCGATCTCTTAGGCTCAAACAATCTTTTTTTTTTTTTTTTTGAGACGGAGTTTCGCTCTTGTTACCCAGGCTGGAGTGCAATGGCGCGATCTCGGCTCACCGCAACCTCCGCCTCCTGGGTTCAGGCAATTCTCCTGCCTCAGCCTCCTGAGTAGCTGGGATTACAGGCACGCGCCACCATGCCCAGCTAATTTTTTGTATTTTTAGGAGAGACGGGGTTTCACCATGTTGACCGGGATGGTCTCGATCTCCTGACCTCGTGATCCACCCGCCTCGGCCTCCCAAAGTGCTGGGATTACAGGCGTGAGCCACCGCGCCCGGCCAGGCTCAAACAATCTTACCACTTCAGCCTATTGGGTAGCTGGGACTATGGGCACATGGGACTGTGCCCAGCTCTGGGTGCTTTTTTCTAATAAATGGACCCTAATTAATAAAAGCACTTCCATATTGTTACTTAGTGGTATCCAAATTTTCCTTTAATAAATTATGCTATGATGTACATTTGAGAGCAACCTGGCCAACATGGCAAAACCCCATCTCTACTAAAAATAAAAAAATTAGCCAGGCATGGTGGTGCCTGGCTGAGGAACAAGAATGGCTTGAACTTGGGAGGTGGAGGTTGCAATGAACTGAGATCATGCCACTGCACTCCAGTGTGAGCCACCGCGTGATGGAGTTAGACTCTGTATCAAAAAAAAAGAAAAAAGTAAAATAAAAATAATTAGTAGTGGCTGGATGCAGTGACTCATACCTGTAATCCCAGCACTTTGGGAGGCTGAGGTGGACTGATCACTTGAGGTCAAGAGTTCACAACCAGCCTGGCCAACATGGTAAAACCCCAACTCTACTAAAAAATAGACAAAAATTTGCTGAGTGTGGTGGTAGGCACCTGTAATCCCAGCTACTTGGGAGGACTGAGGCAGGAGAATCACTTGAACCTGGGAGGCAGAGGTTGCAGTGAGCCGAGATTGCACCACTGCATTCCAGCCTGGGCAACAGAGTGAGAGTCCATCTCAAATTAATAATAATAATAATAATAATAATTAGTGATTTCATGTGATTATTATCCTACATATTTTCTCTAGTGTCTTTTGTGCACTTATATACTGGGGTCTTAACTTACCCAGGCATTCACTTGATTTTCATAAACCATGGACTCCAGAGATTTGGATTCTTATTGCTAATCTCAACCCTGAGGGAAAGCTATTTTAACATATTCTATCCTAAGATAAAGTTGATCATGTTTTATTTAGATTTTTGGTTTCTGGGATGGAGGGAAGACCTGGAGTATGTTCAGTTATTGGATAGTCTTGTGTGTGATTTTTTTTTAATTGCAGTAAAATGTACATAATATTTACCATTTTAACTATTTTTGAGTGTATGGTCTAGTGACAGTAAGTATATTAATAATGTGAGACCATCACCACAATTCATTTCCAGAATTTTTTCATTATTCAAAACAGAAGCTCTATATCCATTAAGTGATAACTCCCCATCCCTGTTTCTTCCCAGCTGTTGATAACCTCTATTTTTTGTCTCTATGAATTTGACTATTCTAGGTACCTCATTATGAGTAGAATAATACAATATTTTGTCTCTCTCTCTATCTCTGTGTTTGTGTGTGTGTGTGTGTGGTCTTACTCTGTCACCTCTGCTGGAGTGCAGTGGCACAATCATAGCTTACGGCAGCCTCAAACTCCCAGGCTCTGATGATTCTCCCACCTCAGCCTACCAAGCTGGGACTGCAAGTGTATGCCACTATGCCTGGACTTTTTTTTTTTTTTTTTCCTGAGACAAAGTCTCACTCTGTCACCCAGGCTGGAGTATACTGGTGCAATCTCCACTCACTGCAACCTCCACCTCCCAGGTTAAAGCATTTCTTGTGCCTCAGCCTCCCTAGTAGCTGGGGTTACAGGCATGTAACACCATACCTGGTGAATTTTTTTGGTATTTTTAGTAGAGACAGGGTTTTGCCATGTTGGCCAGGCTGGTCTTAAACTCCTGACCTCATGTGATCTGCCTGCCTTGGCCTGATTTTTTTGTATATTTTGTAGAGACAAGGTTTTTTGTGTTTTTTTGTTGTTGTTGTTGTTGTTTTTTTTTTTTTTTTTTTTTTTTTTTTGGAGACGGAGTTTCGCTCTTGTTACCCAGGCTGGAGTGCAATGGCGCGATCTCGGCTCACCGCAACCTCCGCCTCCTGGGTTCAGGCAATTCTCCTGCCTCAGCCTCCCGAGTAGCTGAGATTACAGGCACGCGCCACCATGCCCAGCTATTTTTTTTTGTATTTTTAGTAGAGACGGGGTTTCACCATGTTGACCAGGATGGTCTCGATCTCTCGACCTCGTGATCCACCCGCCTCGGCCTCCCAAAGTGCTGGGATTACAGGCTTGAGCCACCGCGCCCGGCCAAGAGACAAGGTTTTGCCGTGTTGCCAAGGGTTGAAGCAGTTCCCCTGCCTCAGCCTCCCAAGTAGCTGGGATTACATGCACGTGCTACCATGCCTGGCTAATTTTTGTATTTTTAGTAGAGACAGGGTTTTAACATGTTGGCCAGGCTAATCTCAAACTCCTGACCTCGTGATCTGCCTCCCTCACCCTCCCAAAGTGCTGGGATTATAGGCGTGAGCCACTGCACCAGCCCTTGCTTTTAATTCTTTAGGGTATATATTCAGAAGTGGCATTGCTTGATTATGTGATAATTCTACACTTAATTTTTGAGGAACTGCCATGCTAGTATCCATAGTATGCCTCTGCACCCTTTTACATTCCCACCAGCAATGCACAAACACTTGTTATTTCATATAATGGCCATCCTAATGGGTATAAAGTAGTATCCCATTGCAATTTTGATATTCATTTCCATAATGATTACTTATGTTAAACATCTTTTCATGTGCTTATGGGCCATTTGAATATTTTCTTTGGAGAAATGTCCATTCATGTCCTTTTTGATTGTTATTGTTGTTGTTATTGAGTTGTAGGAGTTCTTTATATATTCTGATATTAATCCCTCATCAAATCATCAAATATGTGACTTGCAAATGTTTTCTCCCATTCTGTGGGTTGCCTTTTCATTCTCTTAATGGTGTTCTTTGATACACAAAAGTTTTTCATTTCAATGAAGGTCAATTTGTTTATTTTTTTCTTTTGTTTCCTGTGCTTTTTTTCTTTTTTTTTGAGACAGTTTTGCTCTTGTTGCCTAGTCTGGTATGCAATGGCACGATCTTGGCTCACTGCAACCTCTGCCTCCTGGGTTCAAGCAATTCTTCTGCCTCAGCCTCCCGAATAGCTGGGATTATAGGCATGAGCCACCACACCCAGCTAATATTTTATTTTTAGTAGAGATGGGGTTTCTCCATGCTGGTCAGGCTGGTCTCAGACTTCCGACCTCAGGTGATCCGCCTGCCTTAGCCTTTCAAAATGCTGGGATTACAGGTGTGAGCCACCACAAGCGGCTCTGTTTCCTGTGCTTTTGGTGTCATTATCCATATCCAGTGTCATGAATTTTTTACCTTATGTTTTCTTCTAAGAGTTTTATAGTTTTAGCTCTTACATTTAGGATTTTGATATATTTTCAGTAGTTTTTAATGTGGTCAATATCCTTGATAGGACAATGGAAACTTGGTGGACAGTGAAATGAAATATCTGGGCAGTCCTATTACTGCTGTTCCAAAATTGGATAAAAATCCAAAACTAGGAGAATGCCAGGCAGAAGAAATTTCAGATGAATTAATGGAGTTTTCCCTGGAAGGTCAAGAAGCCAAGGTAAAGTGTTCTGTAGTAGTATCTTTGCATTCTTCATATTCCTTCATTCTGTTAAAAGAAAAACTTTAGACAAATTAAATTTAGCAGAGTTTATTTGAGCAAAAAAAATAACGAGTGAATCCAACAACCCCCATAGCCACAATACATTCAGTAAAACTCCCATTTGCTATGTGGTCAGGCAGTGTTATGGACAGAAAATGGAAATGAAGTGCAGAAAACAGAAGTGAGGTGCAGAGACAGCTCAATTGGTTACAGCCATGTGTCTGCCTTATTTGAACATGGTTTAAACAGTTGATTGCTTATGGTTGACTGAAGCTCAGCTGCTGTGCTTTGCTGAGACTTAGCTTTTTAATACAAAAGTATATTTCTAAATTAGGCTTTCAGTTAGTTTAAGAACTAAGTTAGGTTGTAACTTGGTATGTAAAGACTGAAGTACAAAGGCATCCTCAGGCCAAATTTAGTTTAACAATTCATTCTTTTTTTTTTTTTTTTTTTGAGATGGAGTCTTGCTCTGTTGCCCAGGCTAGAGTGCAGTGGTGCCATATTGGCTCACTGCAACCTCTGCCTCCCAGGTTTAAGCAATTCTGCCTCAGTTTCCTGAGTATCTGGGATTACAGGCTTGCACACCTGGCCTGACCTATCTTTAGACTGTAGGGCTACCTGACTGATAGGTTATCAGGTCACTACAGGAATCTTCTTACTCCTGGTGAACAGGTTCCTGTCAGTAGTTTGAGTGGATTAGCAACAAAGTAATCTAGTGTAAGTGATGCCTCCAGGATAATAGTAACATATAGAATATACCTAACGTGACTTTTCAGGTATTTTATAATATAGACTTCTGTTTCCTTTTGTCTTTCCCATATCACTGAGAGATATACCTGAAGGCTATGGGTTATAGGCTATATACTGATATGCCAAAGATAGTTTCTGAGGCATTTAGTTTTTTGTTTTTTGTTTTTTTAAATAGAGGACAGGGTCTTGCTTTGTAGCCCAGGCTGGGGTACAGTGGTGTGATCATAGCTCACTACAGCCTCGATCTCCAAGGCTCAGGCAGTCTTCCCACCTCAGCCTTTGAGTAGCTGAGGCACATGCCACCATACTTGGCTAATTTTTTATAGAGACAGGTTCACCATGTTGCTCAGGCTAGTCTCAAACTCTGGGGCTCAAATGATTCACACACCTTGGCCTCCCAAAGTGCTGGGATTACAGGAGTGAGCCACCATGCCTGGGCTGCATTTAGCTTTTTTTTTTTTTTCAATTGAAACAAAATTTCACTCTGTTGCCCAGGCTGGAGTACAGTGGCACCCAGGCTGGAGTGCTGTGGCATGATCTCAGCTGACTGCAACCTCTGCCTTCTGGGTTCAAGTGATTCTTTTGCCTAAGGCTCCCAAGTAGCTGGGACTATAGGTGCATGCTACCATGCCTGGCTAATTTTTGTATTTTTAGTAGTTATGGGGTTTCACCGTATTGGCCAGGCTGGTCTCGAACTCCTGACCTCGTGATCTGTCTGCCTTGGCCTCCCAAAGTGCTGGGATTACAGGTGTGAGCCACTACACCTGGCCTGCATTTAGCATTTCTTTTTTTTTTTTTTTTTTTTTTTGAGATGGAGTTTCCCTCTTGTTACCCAGGCTGGAGTGCAATGGCGTGATTTCGGCTCACCGCAACCTCCACCTCCTGGGTTCAGGCAATTCTCCTGCCTCAGCCTCCTGAGTAGCTGGAATTACAGGCACGCACCACCATGCCTAGCTAATTTTTTGTATTTTTAGTAGAGACGGGGTTTCACCATGTTGACCAGGATGGTCTCGATCTCTTGACCTCGTGATCCACCCATCTTGGCCTCCCAAAGTGCTGGGATTACAGGCATGAGCCACCGCGCCCGGCCTGCATTTAGCATTTCTAAACCAACTTTGTTTCTTTGAAACAAGCAGGGCTATGAGTTTGTCTTTAAAATTTATTCACTTCACAAGGCCAATGTGGTATAGTGGAGTTAGAACAGTTGCATTCTAGTCCTCGTGCTTTATTTATTTTTATTTTTTTGAGACAGAGTTTCGCTCTTGTTGCCCAGGCTGGAGTGCAATGGCATGATCTCAGCTGACTGCAACCTCTGCCTCCCAGGATCAAGCAATTCTCCTGCCTCAGCCTCCTGAGTAGCTGTGATTACAGGCATGTGCCACCATGCCCAGCTAATTTTGTATTTTTAGTAGAGACGGGTTTCTCCATGTTGATCAGGCTGGTCTTGAACTCCTAACCTCGGGTGATCCACCCACCTTGGCCTCCCAAAGTGCTGGGATTACAGGCGTGAACCACTGTTCTCAGCCTTATTTTTAACATTTATTTGTTTATTAGAAAGGTTTTTGCTCTGCTCTGTCACCCAGACTGAAGTGCAGTGGTGAACTCCCAAGCTCAAGCAATCCTCCCACTTCAGTCTCCTGAGTACTAAGGACTGCAGGTGCATACCACCATGCCCAGCTAATTTAAAAAAACCTATTTTTTTTTTTTTTGAGACGAAATCTCTCTCTGTCATCCAGGCTGGAGTGCAGTGGCATCCTGGCTGGAGTGCGGTGGCGCAATCTTGGCTCACTTGTAGAGCTGGGATCTTGCTGTGTTGCCTAAGCTGGTTTGAAACTCCTGGGCTCCAGCAGTCCTTTTGCCTTTGTTGCGGGATCTTTAGGATGTCACTTTTCTGGCCAGAAACCTCTGTGGTCAGTAGTGCCTTTGCCTGAGTTCTTGTCCTGCATTGAGATACACAGACAAGTGGAGGGTGAGCAAGACAAAGGGAAGCTTTATTGAGTGTTAGGACAGCTCAGAGGAGACCAGAAGTGGGCAGCTCCTCTCTGTAGGCAGTTTGTCTTATCCAGTATTCAGCTCTCAGCAAAGAGGAGGCCCTTTAGTAGGTGGCTTCTCTCTGCAGGCAGGTTGACTTCCTAGCTCTCAGCAGACAGCATAGCTCCTCTCTCCTCTCTGGTTGTGTGATCTTCTCTCTGTCTTCTGCCCTGCTCTGGCTGAGCCTGAGACTTTTATGGACCTCAGAGGGAAGAAAGTGCTCCCTGATTGGTTCATGGACTGCTGGAAAAGGCACAGAAATCCCCATCTGGTGGGCGGGGCTGGCAGTCCAACCCCTAACCTTTAAGCCCTTCCTGACCTGAAAATGGGGCCTTATGGGAACCTCCTTTCCACCCTAAAGCCTGTCTTCCTCTCTCAGCAGTCCATGGCACCCAGGCTGCTCACACCACCATGCACCTGCAGGCCAGCTCTGAGCTCTCTGTCTCTGCTTGGCTTCCCCTCTTAATGCTTCTCTGTACCCAAATTCTGGAGGGGGCAGATGCTGCAGGGTGCTCCCCTGAGAGTGTGCACACCCCCCAAGACTGTGACAGCACCTGGGCTTGCCCCAACCCCACTCCGAGATTGGAGTGGGTGCTGGGAGCAGAGAGAAGTGGGAGGGGGCAGGCCTTCCCAGGCCTCCATGTGTACAGGCTGCAGAGACACTTAGGTCCCGCACCTGGGAGGATGGCTGCAGCTGCACTCAGGAGGCCAGTGATCCTGCCTGCTCTTGGCCCCTGCCAAGAGCACAGGGAGGCTCAGATCTGCAGCTACAACTTGGGTGGCTACAACACCACCTAGGAGGGCAGGGCTTCCGCCTGCTCCATGGAGCAGGAGGCCCAGGTTTCCAGCAGCACCAGGGGAGCTCCTGCCCCAACTCAGAAGGGGCAGGGCTCCTGCTAGCTCCACGCATCATGCAGCCCTATCCATGCCTCTCTGCTACAACCGGCGTGATGCAAGCCCTCTGGAGCTGCAGCTGCTATCACCTTGGCCTCTCAAAGTACGGGAATTACAAGTGTGAGCCACCATATCCAGCCTCATTCTTTTATTTACTTGGTGTTATGACTGTTCACAAGACAACCACTTGATCTCAGTTTTTAATTTATAAAATGGAAAGCATAATAATTAAAAACTACCTCCTCAATAGGCTTGTCGTGAATAAAATGTTAAAAGCAGTTTGTGTCTTCATCACATACACACAAAGGGTAACCATGTGATGAAGGATATGTTAATTAAGTTGACTGTGGTAATCTTTACATAATATATACATAAATCATTACATTGTACTCCTTTAGTATATATAAATTTTGTCATTTATACCTCAATAAAATAGAAAAAAAAAAAAACCTAAAGAGCAGTTTATAATACAGTAGTAACCCATTATCTACAGGGAATGCATTCTGAGACCCCCAGTGGATGCCTAAAATTGCAGACAGTACTGAACCCTATATATACTATGCTTTCCCTATGCATATATACCTGTGATAGAGTTTTTTACTTAGGCATAGTAAGGGATTAACAATAGTAACTAATAATAAAATAGAACAATTACAACAACATACTGTAGTAAAAATTTTGAGGCCAGGCATGGTGGCTCATGCCTGTAATCCCAGCACATTGTGGGGCTGAAGCAGGTGGATCACTTGAGGCCAGGAGTTCAAGAGCTGCCTGGCCAACATCGTGTAACTCCATTTTTACTAAAAATATAAAAATTAACCAGGTGTGGTGGTGAGCGCCTGTAATCCCAGCTACTTGGGTGCCTGGGGCAGGAGAATCTTGAACTTGAACCCAGGTAGTGGAGGCTGCAGTAAGCTGAGATCACACCATTGCACTCCAGCTTGGGCAACATCATGAGACTGTCTCAGAAAAAAAGTACTGATTGGGCTCGGGGGTTCATGCCTGTAATCCCAACACTTTAGGAGATCAAGACGGGTGGATCACCTGAAGCCAGGAGTTCAAGACCAGCCTGTCCAACATGGCGAAACCCTGTCTCTACTAAAAATACAGACAAAAAAAATTAGCCGGGTGTGGTGGCGGGCAACTGTAATCTCAGCTACTCAGGAGGCTGAGGCAGGAGAATCACTTGAACCTGGCAAACAGAGATGTGAGCTGAGATCGCGCCATTGCACTCCAGTCTGGGCAACAGGAGCAAACCTCCATCTCAAAAAAAGAAAAAGAAA